CCCCCCCCCCCCCCCCCGATCGCTGTCTTGCAGTCTCTCTGTGAGGAAAAGGAACTGTCATAAGGGGAAACAGCTTGGGCAATCTTGCTGTCTCTCTCTTTTATCCAGAGAGGATCATAGGAGTTGATATGTTAATTGGCTCCTTATTAAAGTCCACACATGTCAGCTCCGCTTCACACACAGCTCTCTTCAGTCTGCCATCTTCCCCAGGAAGTCCCGCATCTTGGATCTCCCTTGGTTAATGACATATTCAGCATTCCTGCCCTGGGAAACTCTTGCTCTCAGCATCTCTCCCATAATGTTTGCAATTTAATAACCTCAGCAACATTAGCAATACTTGTGTGCATAATAACGCACTCACACATTTGCCTTGGAATTACTATGCAATCCCAGAAAAAAATGTTTTGTTTAAGAAGCTGCTGACAGGTGAGCACCTTCACAGGCTCTGAAGTGCTTTTGTCTTCAAATATGAAGGGCTGCACAGCCCTAATATCTATTTGGAAAGGAGACAGTTTTGACTAATAAAGGATCTTTTTGTTTTTCAGGCAGTAATAAGAAGAAAGTCTAAGCCCCAAAGTAGTATCATGTAGTTGCAGTGCTAATTTGATGAATTTTCTAGCAAAAAACTTCAGTGCTCAAGACTGATACTGAAATCACAATGTATTTCCACAAATTAATTCTCTCATAAAATGTGTGATGGAACTCAGTACTGTGTCAAGAACATATCAGATTAAAAAGCAAGTTGGAACAATATTGAGAAACACTTTGGCCATTATCAAAAGTTATCACTGTTCTATTTATTGAGATAAATAGAACATTGAAGTCCTTGAGCTTATGGAGGACAGGTGGGACATAAATGTAATAAGTAATTACACAGACCTATTTCTCCTGAAGTTTTTTCCCCATAGCTTTGAATAAAGTGCAAGAAGGTACCTTTTTTTCTATTGCTGAAATTTAGAAGGAACTGAGTCTGTAGAAATATAATAAGGGTGATCCCAACCCCTCCTGGGTAAGAGGGGCTCAGAGAGCCTTTTGCAGGGGCATGCAGAGGAATTTGCTCAGCATCTATTGGACAAAATTACTCAGATTCATTTGCAGTTGGACGCTGGCTTTGTTGCAGGTCCAGTGAAGATACTTAGGGAGGAGTCTTGCTCTGTTATCTGGGAACAGTTTGACCCTGTCGGACCTGAGGAACTGGACAGGGTTTTTAGAGCTGAGTTCAGCCACCTGCTTTTTAGATCCATGCCCCTCCTGGCTGGTTAAAGCAGCCTGGGGGGGGGTCATGTGAGTGGGTTCTAGCGATGGTTAATGCTTCCTTGAGTGACCGGGTTGTTCTTTCACCTCTTAAGGAGACTTTGGTTCGCCCCCTTCTCAAGAAACCATTACTAGACCCCACTATAGTGGACAATTTTCATCCAGTATCTAACCTCCCCTTTTTGGGGAAGGTGATTGAGAAGGTGGTTGCGCAGCAGTCTTGGAGGACCTTTGATGAAGTGGATTATCTGGATCCCTTTTAGTTGTGATTCAGGCATGGGTGTGGGACTGAATGAAACAGCATTGGTCGTGCTGTTGGATGATCTCTGGCAAGGGTGGGATGGGAGCTGTACATCCATCCTTGCCCTACTTGACCTCTCTGTGGCTTTTGATACCATTGACCATGGTATCCTCCTGAATTGGCTCAGAGGATTGGGGGTGGGCGGCATGGTGTTGTGCTCGTTCGCCTCCTTTCTCCGGGGCTGATTCCAGTTGGCGGTAGTTGGGGAGGAGAAATCCTGGCCTTGGCCTCTACTGTGTGGGGTGCCGCAGGGTTCAGTCCTCTCCTCTCTCCTATTTAACATCTACATGAGGCCACTGAGTGAGCTCATCTGTTGCATGGGGTGAGGTACCATCAGCACGCTGATGATACCCAATTATACATCTCTGCCCCTGGCGAATTAAGCTATGCTCTGAATGTCTTACCCTGGGGCTTGAAGGCTGTGCGGTTCTGGATGAGGAATAACAGGCTTCAGCTGAACCCTGGCAAAACTGAGTGGTTTTGGGGCCTTCCAGTCCTAGAACTATGCCATCTTTGGTGCTGAATGGGATGGCATTGCCCCAGACAGACCCAGTGTGCAATCTGGGGATCTTCTTGGACTCATGACTCCTATTCAAAGAGCAGTTGGCAGTTGTGGCTAGGATGGCCTTTGCACAGCTTCAGGTTTTGCTCCAGTTGTGCCCATTCCTGGATCAGGGGGCTCTGCTCACTGTTAGTCATGTTCTACTCACTTCCTGTTTGGACTTCTGTAATGCACTGTACATGGGACTCCCTTGAAGTGTATCCAGAAGCTTCAGCTGGTGCAAAATACAGTGACACGGGCAGTTATGTATGCCCCTAGAAGGGTACATGTTATATCTCTGCCCTGCAAGCTGCATTAGTTGCCAGTTTGCTTACGGGCCCAATTCAAGGTGCTGGTTTTGACCTTTAACATCCTCCATGGCATGGGGCTGGGTTATTTGAGGGACTGCCTCTCCCCGATTACATCTGCTAGTTCAATCAGATCTGGCAGAGAAAGCATGCTCTGGGACCTGCCTGTCAGAGAATTACATTTGGCAGGTTCCTGGAGGTGGGTCTTCTCTGCCGTGGTGCCTGCCTTGTGGAATCTTCTCCTCACTGGAAGTGAGGTTAGCCCTGTTCCTCTTAACATTCTGCAAGTCCCTCAAGATCTGGCTATGCGATCAGGCCTGGGGGTCCCAGGGGACCAGGGAGATTTTGTGATGGCTTCCTTACTACAATTAACATCATCCTCTCCTGTTTTGTCTTTTTTTTGTAGTTTTTATAGTTTTAATAATTCTTTTATATGTGTTTATTGGTTCTTTTTAATTGTATGTCGCCCAGAGTCACTCTCTTGTGAGATGGGTGGCTATACAAATATGATCAATAAATAAAAAATAAATATGAAATAATAGCTGTAATATTTAGGCATTAAAACAAATGGGATGAGCACTATTTTCAGTTCATTTTTCTTGTTAATATTCCATACTGAGACAATTCCTAATTGCTGAAGAGTTTGCAATGACATGGGCAGTGAGCAATTAGCTTTCTGTAATACCAGTTATTTTCAGTTTCAAAATATATCAAAATAGATTTGATCTATTTGAATATATTTGAAGGTTTAGATATGTTTGAAGCTTTAAAGGAAATCAGACCGGGGGCTTGGTAAAACTTAGTTGAACCTAGAAATCACTGCTGCAGTTGTAGAGAATTTTTCTTGCTTTATATCATTTTATTCTAAGTTTGAGAAATAATTTGGGACAGAAAAAAATGGAAAGCTTTTATTTGTTTTTGAGACTGAATAAACAACAAGACAGATGGAAAAGATGGTGTCAGCTTTTTGATGAAAACAATTTTGAAAAAGCTTCAAATAAGTAGCTGGTTTATTGTGTAGGTACCTACTTTCTAAAAACAAAATCTGTATCTCTTTCTGAAAAGTGATGAATATCAGCAAGGCTGCATTATGACTTTGTGGTCCCCAAGCATTTTTGCCTTCATGGGCCCCTCCGTCCATAAAAATAATGGTATTAAAAATTATATTTCATATGATTTTCAATATTTTTACAAAGAAATAAGGAATACTAAATAATATATGTATTATTTTGTAATAATCAGTTGTTGCCGATAAACTATGATGTCACACAAAAAATTTACTTACCAATTTTTGGCATTAATGTAGTGTAATTACTGCACTACACTAATTACTATACTATTGTAGTGTAATTTTCCAATCATAGCAGAATCTGCCTACATTCCACTATGTCATAAACAAAATAAACGCACCTTTCTCTACTCTTTGTTGAAAGTGGTTTATTAAAAGAAATGTCCATTGATGAAATCATCCAAGAATTTGCCAATAAAAAATGTTGTAAGGTAAAAATTTAGATAATAAATTTACATTCATACATGGATGCATTATTTTTCTCTTATAAGTTCTTATAATTTATTGTAATAAGCCCCTGCAAGAATTATTAAATTATTTTAATGGTATTTAATATGTAAGTTCTTATAATTTATTGTAATAAGCCCCTGCAAGAATTATTAAATTATTTTAATGGTATTTAATATGTAAGTTCTTATAATTTATTGTAATAAGCCCCTGCAAGAATTATTAAATTATTTTAATGGTATTTAATATGTGACTGAGCTTTTAATTTGAATTCTATATATATTTTATTAGTATTTTATTTCTATTTTATTTATTGTGCATATTTTCAAGGCCAAAAAGTAAGTCATGAAAATTAATAACTTCATTTTTATTATTTCTGATTAAAAAACATGAAAACATTTTGTGGACCCTAGACACTGTGACTTTTGTACCTAATTAATAAATCAGTCCTGAATATCAGACAGGAATGTGTTCTCTTTTCTTAACAGTGGAACTAAATAGAAACTTACAGGGTAGTGATTTACAAAGTTAAAATTGAGTTTGACCAAGGAATGATTTAAATAATGGCTTAGAAATCAGTATAATTTACATAAAATCTCCTGTGCCTCATCTCCTTGGTGTATTAGAAAGCACTGAGATTTTTTATCAATATCTCCTCCTTTCAGCCTTTGGGAATACTTAGGTTTTCCAAGTTTAATTTATATAAAAAAGAAACAAGTATCTGTAAGTTCTGGAAGGTTTCATAACTGCAATCATAATTGAAATCTTTTCTAACATTTATTTCTCTTTACATCTATAGTATGGGAAAATGTTTGGTGTCTCAGTAACCTTCTTATAGTTTTTAACATTTCTAAGCCTTAACTAAACATTCTGAAAGTTTTGAAGTGCACAGTTAATGGAATTTGTGCAAGCATATTGCTAACTTGAGATTTGAAGCATTTTTAATCTAAAATGTATTTTTATGATTATTCAGGCATCATTTTAGAGGGCTTGTTGAAGAATCGATCTGCCTTCTGCAGTGACAAACTTGATGAATACTTAGAAAATGAAGGAAAGCTGATGGAAACAAGCATGGGATTTTCTCCTAGCACATCTAGTTCTCCTGTGGTTTATCAGCTTCCAACTAAAAGCACCAGCTATGTACGAACATTAGATAGTGTTCTAAAAAAGCAATCCACCGCTACTAATTTGAGTTCTTATACTTCCAAGCCTCTTGGTTTACCTTCTATTTCTAAAAAGAAAAAAGAGAAAGTTAAGAATAAGAAGCAAGTAGTCTCAAGAGGCAAAGAAAAATCTCCCCACAAAGGTATAATAGGTTTATCTGTTGCAAAAAAGCAGAAACGCAAAGTAGCCTCGGAAGAGAAAGCTTCTAAATCTCAGCCAAATGATCAGACAGTTAATGAGAAAGATGCTTTAATGGGCACAGAGGAAAATTTGCAGAGCAAACAGATCACTGTGCGTCAGGTGCAGCAGCAACATAGTAATCGCTTGCCAACTTTATCCAAGACTCAATTGAAACTGCTGGATTTAGAAGATTGTGCATTGTGGGATGGTAAACCACGGACATATATTACTGAGGAACGAGCTGAACTATCTTTGACAATTTTGCTGACTGCTCAGGTAAGTTTAAAGGATGAAAATACATGTTTTGCCTAATCTAAACAATTTTTTAGTGATTCCAACAATAATTATCTTGTACAGTATAGGAAAACAGAGAATAAGCTTCAGCTACCTTTTGAGGGTTGGAAAGCAAAATGTCATTTTCGAGTCTTCCCCTTTCTGAGTAGATTGCTGTCTTGGGTTTACTTGGATGCATTGTAGAAAACTCCTATTGCAACTTCCCCTCTCCCCTCTCCTTGGAACAGGACAATAGCTTCATAGAACTATAGAATACTACTAGACAACCCGTGGCCTGTTGGGTCATCGTTTCAGAGATATTTCCTTACCTAAACAGAGAAACAGAATGAGCAAGGGCAAAAAAGCAGTGGGAGTGTGAGCGACTTATGACTTGATGCAAGCTTCCCCATTGACTTTGCTTGTGGGAAGCTGGCAGAGAGCATCAGAAAACTCCCTCCCTCCCCCCCTCCTCCCCCCCCCCCCTCCCCCCTTCTCCCCCCCCCCCCCTCCCCCCCCC